TTAGTAAGAGTAGTGGAAAATTGCAGGCTTTACAGTCAGGAAAAGTTTTTAACGTTTTATGTTCATTTTAGAGATGGAGGAGTTCCTAATTTACTTTTGGAGACTATATTAAAGAAATAGGTCACCCCAAAATTCTATCATCATTTACCACCTTCATCTCAATCCAGTCCCAAATGCTTTATTTTCCTCTGGAGAAGGGCGTACAAAAACGAGATGTTTATTATCACTGCTGATTTGGTGTTCAAGTAACATTTCTAATTATTATCATTGTTGCAAACTGCTTGTGAAAACTGGAATTTTCAGGATTCTTTGAGAATCCTTTGATTCTTTCAGGATCCTTGCTAAATAAAAGTATTAATCTCTTTAAAAAAGTAATGTTCACGTTTATTATTTATCACTGATGTATTGTTTTTTTTATGATGGTGCTTTTTTGTTTTAGCGATTTATAACCAATTTCATTCAATGGAAAAGAGCAGCCTGGATATTCTGCAAAACAATATAAATTGTGTTCCTCACAATAAAGAAACTTAAATGGGCTCAGATTGAAATGAGGGCGAGTAAATTATGACATAATTTGAATTTTTGTGTGAAATATGCTGTTAAGTCTGTTTAGTTAATTCTGATTGGAAAATGTAATGTATTCAAGCACATTTTATAACATTTTATATATTAAAGTTTGCATATAAGTAAAAGTGAAGAGCTTAAATTTGAATGGTTTACTCTTGGCAAACTTTGCAGTCCGACTCCAACGTATGTTGTTTGTGTGGATCAGTGGTGTGTTCAGCCTTGTCCATATCTCATTACAGATAGACTATCAGCACAACCCCAACACACTGTGCTTACAGCCATGGTGTTCCAGTGGAATTAGCGGCTTAATACACTTCCTTTCTCGCATTCCTGCTGTCTTTCTCTTTCTGTAAATCCTTTGCTTTCTCTCAGACTCAAATTTTTTTTTTTGTGGTTTGACATGTTTGCTCTTAAGGCTGAGTGTTTGTGTTAGAGCACACGTGAGGGAATTGGCTTCTTGCTCTGTGACTCCAGAACTGTAGCCCTTCTTGGACTAGACATAGAGCTGCCTGTGTGTTGGTGTGACTTGGTGAATACATTTTATTTTTTGTTATTATTTAAATTTTTTATTTTTATAGGGTATAAGTTATGCGTGCCTGTGTGTGGTCATTTTCTCTTCTTTTAGTATTGGGCAAGTCTGTAGTTTTTTTTAGAATCTCATTCTCAGGTAGTTTAGTTCAAAGAGGGTTTATACTGGAACTCATTACTCAGAGTTTAAATCTCATGTTCTGCGTCAGACGGCACTCTTTTCCCAAACATTTTAAGAAAAACATTTAAGTGCTGTCTTCCCAAACATTTAAAGATCCAAATACGGTGTTTGAATTCATATACATAGCTTATATGAGGCCATCACGCCTGTCATTCTTATAGAAAATGTCCCTTTCACTGACCTTGTGGACTAATCTGTTCACTTATCTTTCTGCTTTTTTTTTTTTTTATAATTTCATGGTTCAAACCATACAGTTGTCTACTTGAATGGCAGACAGTTTGCTGGAGCTTAAATATGACTCAGACTTCTCTCTTGTGTAGAGAAGGAGAGGAATTTGTCAGGCATGACATCATCCAACCCACTGATAGGATTCCAGTGTTTAGTGTTCATTCTCTACTGTATGTAATGCTGAAGGAAAAACAAATCATCAGGCTTGTGAGAAGAGACTAATGTGCTTCAAATTCAGGGTGGGGTCCTGCTTGAAACAACAAACCCTCAGCCCAACTCAGGCCTTGAAACTCAGTGCGGGATTGTAGGTATTGCACACAATTTTAATCAATCCCACAAGCTGCGCATTCAAAATGTAGGCAAATAATCACTCAAAATAATCTGTTTTATTTGGATTATATTAAATTTCTATTACATTATATACAAGTGAATAAATAGAAAGGACCCTATGAATTGGCTGAATAAAATTAGATGTAGCCTACTGTAGTGCCTTGTGAGGAACATTTAGATAACATAGGACAGAAAGTGTCTTTATTTCATGAGCACAAGTCCATTTTTAAGGAACACACCCTTTTTATGCTTGATCCTTAAAATACATCATTTACAGGGCTGTCAATCAAAATGGAGTTGTCACAGAAACACCTCACCCTTCTTGGCCTGAATGCCAGCCGGTGAATGAGACCCACCCATGCCCCGACACACGCACACCACATCTACAGGCTAGGCTTGCCGCGATAGACGGTGTTGACGGTGATACCGGTGTTAAGCCGCAACACCGGTTATGTCACTTGCCCACCGCGTCTGCCCACGCCCGCTGCGGTGATACCGGTGTTACCGGTGTTGTCACACGTCGATTAACCGGTGGGAAAATTTCCTCACTGTCACAACTCTACTACAGGCCTTATCATGGGGCAGGCTGTGGCTGGGCTCCTTCAGGGCTTGGCAGGGCTATGAGCGGGCTGGCCCTGCTGTTACGTGGAGCTCTGTGGGCAGCTGCGGCCACCGAAAAACCTGATGCGGTGCTGGTGTGGTTTGCCTACACGCGGATGCTCCCATGTTTCACTGATGCAGTGCAGTGGAAATGTAAAAGTTAACGCTCAGAATCTTAGCAGAGGAGTTTAGGAGCCCACGGAGAGCAGCTACTATTGAATACATATTAAGTAACACTGCAAACGTGCCCACAAAATCTGTGCTAAATGCAATTTTCCCAGCCTAATTACTGATCTTGTAGGTTGTTACTAAGTAGAGATTGACCAGTAATCCTTTTTACTGATATTTTTGTATGATATTTAAATGTTTTTTTTTACATAATCGCCTATCATTTTCATATAAATAATAAATGTTCTCTAAAGAATAAACCCCAAAATATCAAAATATTTGTAATATTAATTAACTGAGGATAAATATTTATACGTATATCTGTGTGTTTGTTGATTAATTAATTGGTATATTATTAATTTGTTACATTGATTAACTGAAGAGTATTGGGTAAATAATTCATATTTTTACATGTGTGTATATGTGTGTATATATATATATATATATATATATACACTAGTGCTGTCAATCTATTAAAAAATAACTAATTAATTGCACATTGTTTTCTGCAATTAATCACCATTAATACCATCTAACATTACATTTTTTTTAAATATACATTTAAATTGCAATAATTTTACATTCACTCTTCAAATTAATGTAAAAACAACATAAAGACAGTGTATTTTTAATATTTGTTTAACCCTTTGAGCGGTAAGGTCCCACACATGGGATTTTTATTTCCGTGCCCCTGGGAGCATGGTCCCACATATGGGATTTAGAACGTTCGGCTTTCACGCTTTATCTGGCACTGAGCCAGAGAGAGAAGTGCTCTGCGCTTGTCATATTATCACAACTATGCAGTGTTTTTAACCACATAATGTTTATTTTAGGTTTCAGACATTTAAATACACATAAGTACTAGTAAAACAATACATTTAGAGTTTGTAAAATACACACATATGTCTATGGAATAACAATAACAATCCATTCAAATTTAATTTGTCCATGTGTTTTATTCATATCAGATACACATAGTGTAAGTAACTATAAAGTTCACTCTATTCTTCACCCAGTTCACCGGCCACTTATTACTTGTATTTCGGGAGAAATTGATGAATTCACGTGCAGTAAATCTGACTGACAGGACTCTCTGAACTGCAACGCGAACAAACATGGCGGCGCCCATCTCACATTACAGATCACAATCAAGATAATTTAGAAAGGTTTTTAAAGGACAAAACACACTCATTTACACATATTTGTAAATCGGAAGATCAGATTGTTCATGACATGGTATGCAAGTTTGTGAATATTTTAAATTAAAAAGGAAAAACTAAATAAAAGCGATCCATCTGGCATGACGCGTCGCCATGGAAACAGTAAGGGGAAACGTTCTAAAATAACGGTCGCCTTAAAAAAGCTCACTCTGGGGGGACCGCTAGAATATTTTAAACTCACCACTGAAAGGGTTAATGCCATCTTTTTTATGATCAAAGGCGAGTATCACTGATAGCAAATACTACTGATGTCTCTAGAAAGTTTTTTTTCCTAATATTTAACCATTGACTATAGCCAGTCAACATCACAGTATAATTGAGAGTTATACATTTTAACATTTATTAGACTGTATAAAATAACAACTTCTAATTTAAGTGAACTTCAAACAGTCTTCACATAAATCCATAATAATAAATGTCATATTTAGCTTTCTGTGCCCTTCAGCAAGTAGGAAATAGACAGAAATTAAATAAAGTTATCAAACACTAAATTCTAAATTAAATATAGATGAATCCTTAAAGCTACAAAAGTTATTGATTTCCTCTTTTTTCCATTGTTCTTTGATTAACAGACATCACAGCAGCTGGTTATTAGGTTATTTTGGCTGCTTTAAGAGCTGCCGCTGCTGAACATGACGTGGATCTGACACACATCATATTTTCTCACAACTCTTTTCTGACTCACTTCAGGTCTTAAAGTCTCTGCTCATGAGCTGACGAGTTGAATCGGGTGCGTTAGATGAGGGAGACAGTGCTAGGCTGCTCCAGGACCGTTTTAAAAACCACTGCATTTCAGAGACATGTTCTTAAATGTGACTCATATATAACAAATAATTACATGCATGCACAGTTTTAAGGCAGAATTTAAAGGCCTTTTTGGTAAATTCATGACTTAACTGATGACATAACTATGACATTGCATGCTCGTAGTTTCTTTTGCGCTTTAATATGAAATGATATACAGCGCGTGCCGCCGTATTTGTGCGTGCATTTGAAGAGCACATCCTATGAGCACAGTATACCGGCTGACAGGACAAGTAAATTGGTTTTTACTGACATACGGCCTGACAACAACATCTCATCTGACTGCAGTTCACTGTTGTTCTAGTGAAGCTCCCTCATCATCTGTACCTTTTCCACACTCGATTAACAGCGCCTGGCGCTGAGACAAAGTTGGAGTGCGCATCTGAAAAGTCTTCCATTTGATGTGGTTGTAAAGATGTTCTGTATCTAAATAAATGTAATTCTTGTCAAGAAAAAAAGAGACAAAAGCAGCAATTGTGAGTGGGGTGGCCAACCCTATCTCCACCCCTGCGTTAATTGCGTTAAATATTTTTAATGCTTTAAAAAGAAAAAAATTATAATTGCATGTGTTAATGTGCTAATTTTGACAGCATTAATATATACATATATATATGCATGCATACACACACACACACACACACACACACATATATATATATATATATATATACGTATGTATGTATGTATGTATATTGATATGCATTCCTGAGTTCAGCATCACTTCACCACTGCAATCCCTACACCTGTATGCTCTATTTAAAATCAAGAAAGCATTCTAGTCTACAGTATGGATGCATGTCCGACTATAACACTGTTCTCCATATTTTGTTTTTTTAATTGCATGATAAACTGGATTGCGTGCCAGTTAGTGAATATGCACAGGTTTCTATGCTGAGATATCACGTGCAAAATTTAGCAAATTTGCCCCTTAGTGTTCAGTCAAAGACAAACAGGCTTGTTGTGCTTCTTTCAGAGTGATTAAGAGAGAGAGCATTCTATGTTAAGCTCTGAAAGAATAAATGTTGTTTTAGAAAAAGGGAAGGACTCTATCCTGATAGAAAATAAGGCTTTCATTCATAAATCAATGTTCTCTGTCCTATAGCATGAGTTTAACTAGGCTTCTGTCTCTTTCCTGCTCTATTTCTGTTACGCTTACTGACAGGCAGAAAATCTGCAGTGCTCTGTTGAGACTTGACATGTTCCTGAGCTCTCCTAAAACAAGGCTTTTCTTCTTCCTTCCATGTTTGTAGTATGCATTTTCCATTCAGTCACGCTCCATCTGTAGCGCTTAGGGTGGTCCTTATTTGTAGTCCTATTTTACTGACAATGCCAAATTGTATCTGCCTGTGCAAGCTGAAATCTTCGACTGTTTGAGCATGTTGCAGGATTTCACCTTCACAATACCCAACAGGTATTACATTATATTTCTGTCCTTCATGTTTAAAACAAAATTTTTAACGTTTTCAAACCAGCTCAAATAAGTTTTGGCTGTAATTTTTGCTAATTGATATTAATTAATCTGACTAGAAATAAGTAGAAATAGCTCCTTAAAAGACAGGTTTGCTTAAAAATTAAAATTCTGTCATGACCTTCCAACTTTGTATGGCTTTCTTTCTTTTGCACCACACAAAATAAGATATTTTGAACAATGCTGGAGTCCAAACAACATTAGACTCCATTGACTCAATTTTGAAAAACCACCAAATTTTCAAAACATCTTATTTTGTGTTCCACAGATGAAAAAAAAAAGAGGGTGAGTAAATAAAGACAGAATCGTCATTTTGGGGTATACTATTCCTTTAAGGTAAGAACGGGACATTTTTACATTTAAGTTTTAATTGTGAGGTTGTGATTTGTATAAGAAAATAGAAGTTTGATACTTGTCAATATTTTTCAATTCAGTTTGCTACCATATAAATGAGACACGTCACCTTTTAGATCCTTTTTAGGTTAATAATTATGCTTTATTTAAACATAACATAAATGCAGTAGAACTGGTCTCACACAGTCACAAACGCACACACTCTTTAAGAGCACACGCTATCAGTCTCATAGGATAGAGTTTCCACCGGTAACGGCTCCAGTAGGCCTCTGTCTCTGTCCCTGTCTTTGTCACTGCAGTGCGGCCCCTGGCCCCTAATGAGGAAACCTGCTACTCGGGGATAGAGATCACATTCACAGACCCAAACACACATACACACAGTCTTCTCTCTCTCTCTCTCTCTCTCATCCTCTCTCATCCTGGCCCCTTTCGGTGTGTGTGGTTGGGGGGTAATCTGATACACAGTGTGGCCAGAGTCCCTCGTGCTCATATATACGCTCTCAAGACAGCCCTTGCATTGAAATCCAAGATGGCGGACGATATCTTCTCCTTGTTTTTCTTTTCCTTCAGGGGTGCGGATGTGCCTCATTAGCTATCTAAATAAACAAAAGGACTGAGATGTATAACAAATAGAATGTCACATAAAAACACACTTATTATGATTTACATGCACTGGTTCTCATTTCCTCTCTGCGAGTTTGTGTTGTGGCGTCTCTAATGGCGGGTGTTTTAAGGTCAGTGTTCTGACCTCTCTCGCTGCGGATCTACCATTTGCTTTTCTAGCTGCCCACACACTTCACCTTTCAGCCCAAATGGAAAAGAGAAAGAGAGAGAGGAAAACACTTTGTGTACTGCCTGCATTTTTGTCATGCTGCTACATGCTATCTCTCCGTCTCCTTGACAGCCTCCGCTCTCTCTCTCTCTCTCTCTCTCTATGCTCAGAGCTTTGGAGCCTTAGGGAGAAAAGTAGGGACATAGATAGTTTTAAAGAGAAGAAAAATAGAATGAGGGAAAACCTAGAGAATTTTACTTCATTGAAGAAATAGTTCACCATTCTTTACTTACTCTCACTCACTGAATGATTTTCATTTTTCTATAGCAGTTTAGCAGAAAATGTATGTTACTCTTTTCCATTCAATCAAAGTGAGTGAAGATAAGTTATCAACCTTGACAAAAAGCCCATACAATTCTTTTGAAGCCCCCGGTCACCTTCAACTTTCATTGTATAGAAAAGAGCAGCATGCCCATTTTGCCATCAACCTCTCGTTAAAAAAAAAAGCTGTGTGAAACTATTTGTCCACCTGTTTTTGTTATACACATTTGTGAAGCAACATGATAACATGATATTTGTGAAGCAACATAACAATATTTGTGAAGCAACATGATAACTACTTAACATTGTTTGAAAAAGACATCTGTCAGGCTTGACGTATACGTAGTGACAGACATACAAACAGCACTTGTTGTTCAGAAATCTAACTGAATTCAGATTATTTAGCTGTATAGTATATAGTGTACACTTTGAAGTTTCTGCATAAATAAATTTCAGTGTGAATATGATCCACCTCATTAGATGTAAATTAGCTTTCATGATGATCAAGTTTGTAATAGTTTTTCAATAACCCGTTCCTAATAACCGTTTTAAAATTCATGGATGTTATTAAAGGGATATACCTAATGTGGTAATACTCAATGTGTAACCCACTAAATTATCCAGAAATTGTCCATAAATCACTGGCAACAAACAGCAGCGGTCGCACAAAATATTTGCACAATGTATAGAGATTGTGTGTTATTTAATTTGATGGCAGTTGTGTAGATCAGAGGTTAAGAGGCAGAGTGGCAGAGATTACAGTGGATGATGGGAAATAAGGATATGTGTGTGTGTGTGTGTGTACCTACTTAACCATATTTTGGGGACAAATTTGTACCATTACACCTATGGAATGTCCCCATTTAGATAGCTAAGTAAACATGTGTGTGTGTGTGTGTGTGAAAATTGATTTGTAGGTGGAAATTCATACATTTACTGCTTTTGAAATCATCATCTCCCAGCCAATCACTTGTAAGCCTCTGATGTCATACTTGCATGATGAGAAGTAAATCACCATAGTGCAGTGCTGATGACATCAAACAGATTTTGCTTTCTTCTATTACTGTTGTGTGATGCTTGATCTCACTGTCTGATCTGGATTCAGGTCTTATCAGTCGTCACAGACATACAGATCTCTGTTTGGACTTGTAAAGCATGAACATCAGCTGTGAGAGGGACCGCTCAAAGAAATGTATCAAATAGAAATACTGTATGTTGCTTTATGACAGGTTTTTGAGTAGTTCTATTTTGAGTTGTGTTAAAGGGGTCATTTTACTCTCTCTTTTCCATTTGTTGCCAACTATATTTTATACATTTACAGCACTATAATAATATATTTAAAGGGGAGGTCTAATGCTATTCTGACTTATTCAGAATTCTAAGGAGTAGGATTCTCATGCTAAACATGACCAAAGTCTCAAATTACGAATTAGACATATGATGGAGTATTTCTGTGCCAAATACACTCCTTCAGGGTTCGTATAAGTTTTGGAAAGTTTTTTTCTCTCGAGTATGGCCTTGTATGACATCATAAAGGGCGGAATTCCTTGCATGGGCACTTCTCCTGGAAGAGCGCGAGCACACATCAACCAGAGCGAGAGCAAGAGCAGCCCATCAACGTGCCTCATTCAAGTTACAGAAGTCGTCGGCAGTGCTGCACAGGACTTGCTCGAGAAGGATTTTACATTTTGTTTTTGACCACAAATTCAACAGTCACCAAAAAATGAGTTTTTGGGTTATGAGGGAAAGATAACCTTGTTCAGCTTCCCAAAGAACCCAGCGTTAAGGGAATTATTTATGTCGATCTCACAGCTTGCAGACGATGGCTACGCAAAAGCTGCGCGTGTTTGTGATTCTTTAGCTCCGCCCACGGCACGCCTCCAGGAGCTCGACTGTTTTCGGAGAGAATCGTAAAGCTGTATCTTTCTTTTATAAGTCTGATAAAACTAAAGACTCTTCGGCGATATGAAGGATGCAATACTACTATATAGGTACTCAAGATTAACATGAGATTGGCAGATTCTGTGCGTTATGCCCCCTTTTTAAAAAAAAAAAGCTTTTAATTTTTGTTGAGGTTTCAGATACTACATGTCTGTTTTCTGCAGTTTCACATGCCCATTTTTTACAGTTTATTTTGAATAAATGCTGTTTTTGGATTGGAGAGGGAGCACCTTTGAATAAATCATGATATGACCATGAAATCTAGAAAATAGAAAGCTGTGGTTGAAATGAGTGTCTGCACATGGCCAGTTTTAGTTATGTTGGTGAGTCAGCTCAAGCCCAAAGCAAGCAAAATCACAGTATGAAATCATCCATGATCTCTTCTCTTCCATGCAAAATGGTGAAGCAGTCAATGTAAACAATGTGAACCAGAAAATGTAAATCCAAACAGAAATGCATCCAAACAGCAAATGTAAATTGTTTATGTTGTGTTAACCTATAGAAATGGTGCTGCTCAACCACTGACTACGAGCATTTGTTCTTCTGTTTCCATAGGGACATCAGCATGAACAACATCACTGAGCTGCCTGTTAATGTCTTCAGAAACCTGCCCTATCTGGAAGAACTGTGAGGATGATTTCTGTTTTCTCTCTCTTTCACTATTTCCCCTCATGCTCTGTTTTCTTTTTCTTATATATTCTTGACACTTTTTTTCAAACACCATCATTGAACATCTCCATGATGATTTGAGATGATCTTTTGCTCTGTCATCATTCTTGAATATTCTTGTCTATTTTGAGATTTTGAAATGTTTATAGAACTGCAGAAACAACTTTGAAGCTAAATCCACATGGCATCCATTAAATCACTGCTGGTCTCAGTTCCAGCTTGTTGGATTATGCAAGCTCCATTGTCTTCATTTCTTTTGATAGTCACTACATTGTGTCACTGTCCAATTTCATAAATTAAAGTCTGCTAAACAGTGTTGCTCATGTCACCTCAGATTGCCAATTTTTATTGAAAATTAATGACTTTCAGACAATTTGAATCTGCGATCACTGTTAATGCTTTAGTGCTGTTATATGAGGCTTCAGGCCCATTGCCACAGAAAATCCACTCAGGTGAATATTCAGTACAACAGCACTACTGCAAGTATAACACGACTTTCTTTTCTGTATCAATTAAGCCATATACAATACTTGCACAAAATAATGTTTATTATTTAAAATAAATCAACATTAAAATAAAAGATAAACTTAAAATTAAGATAAAATCATTTACAGACAAACAAGCTACACACTGCCTATTAGAGCTTGAGATTTCCCTTAAAAAATTGCATAGACCAATTAGAGAGAATAAGCGGGGAACAGATTTGGCCACCCACAGCACCATCAGTGTGGTGCGGCACATCTGGCACAGTCTCATAGCTTACAAAGTACTGTTAGTCAGAGCATCTCAGGATGCTACGGATGTCAGATGGCTTTTGAAGCTACATCTAACTTGATCATAGCATGTTAATGACATTAAAGGAACAAACACATGCTGTTTTAGACAGATTTGGAGTGGCTGTATCAGTATATCTGAAGTAAGACTTGAACTCTCGTTGGGTGTGACTGATTTTTTTCTTTGTGTTTGTCTTTTCTTTACTTCTTCTCTCATTCCACGTCTGCCCATCTGTGGGAAGGGCAGATAACATCTGTCTTAAGTGATATCAGGTACCAGCGCTTCCAGACTGCTGAAATGACCAGCTCCCTCGCTCTTTTCCTTTTTTTTATTCGTTTGATTGGAGTGTGTTTTCTTACCCTCGTGTGTCTTTCATCCACTCCAATCTCCTCAGCTCTCGTTCCCAAACAGTTCGCCAGTGCTTTGTCAAAGGCCAATTTGCTTTTCAACGCATTGTGAGAAGGAATGAATGGCAGGAAGAAAGAGGGCAAAACAATGGTTTCCGTGACAACTGGAGTTTTCAGAAGCGTGTGCTATCTGGGAATGGGGTGAGGGGTGCGCGAGGTCTCCGGGACCTGTACAGCACTGCATTGTGCCAGATGCTCTTTGTCAGGTTGCTCATGGTTCAGTGGTCACAATGGGTGTGGTTAATCACAAGGGTCAGGAGTTCACTTTCTGGGCTTAAAATTATTTTTAAACAAATCCTGGACTGTTGTAACCATTGCTGGTAACTAAATAGTTGACGGTAACCATTGACTTCCACTGTATTTTTTGTTAGCAACATTCTTCAAAATATCATCTTTTGTGTTCAACAGCTGAAATAAATTCATTCAGGTTTGGAACAACTTGAGAGTGAGTAAATGATGACAGCATTTTAATTTTTGGGTGAACTATTTTCTCATGAATTTCTGTAAAACATTTTTGTAATCTATTTAAAAATATGTATCATCATTTTGTATGCCAGTGGCCTAAAGAAGTTGCTTTATAATGATATATAAAGGCATTTCTATAGTGGCCTGCAGTACAATTGCAAAGACTGCAATTATTTTTAATTAATGTAGTTCTGAACTGAAAGTAAATGTTTTAAACTTAAATAAAAGTGCACCATTAAAGCTCTTGACCTGGGAGATGTCACTTGGACCAATCTGAATCCAGCCTCGCTGGATGTGTCCTAAACAATACAGCAGGGAAATCTGACAATGCCATATTGGATAGCTATATTGCATCGCATTGACTTATTAGTTCATTTGTAATTTGTTTTATATAGGTAATTCTGTCTTGGCTGAACCCTTCAGAGGGTCACATGACATTCAGTTGCCGTGCTCACTGATGTGGTTACTAAAGCAACACGCCGGAGTAGCGCTACACAGCTTTGGCAACACACTGACCACAGAATGAGACTTAGATTAGTTCCAGACAAATAAAGATCAGGGGTGACATCTCCCCTCTCAATGCATCAGACTGCTGAGTTGTGACACTGAGTGTGTACTTAAGAATCCACCCATGGTATCCTGGCCAAATCTGGTGGCTTTGAGACACAGCCAAACCAGAACGATGTAGAGAGAGAGTCATGGAGCAAGAAAACGTCTCTTTTTCCCGCACCGCTAACTCAACCGCATTGGTGTGCCACAACAAATGTGTTGATGTAAACAAGAACGCAGTTAGACGGCAGTTGATTGTGTAATTTGGGGTTTGTGTTGTGGTTGTAGAGAGACATATTCTGTCAAAGCCTGTGTGTTGGTTCATAATTTTAACTTTTTAGTATCCCAGCAGTCCTTTTAATCTCTCCCTGTGTTTTCTCTCTCCATCCATCTCATTGTGTGTGGCAATATTTCAACACTTAGAAGCTGAACCCCTATGATCCTGCGGACTGATAAGCCACCCCTGTCATGTCCTCACCATCATAATTCCAGCAGTATTATCCAGTGTCACATGTTGTTTTCCCCCTCTCTTTCCCTTTTTTGTCTGTTTGTCTTTCTCCAGGTCTGCAGGTGAATATTGGAGACACCGTGCCACAAGTTATCCATAGACTTAGGGTGTGTTCACACTTGTAGTTCGGTTTGTTTGGTTCATTTGGTCCGGACCAAAAAGGAAAATTATACATTTGGTCCTGGTCTGCTTAGCGTTCACATTGCCATTTTTGACAGCGAACCTGAAGACACCGAACCTAAAGGCATAGTGATTAGTGGTCGACCGATATTGGTGTTTTGACTGCCGATGCCGATATCTTGGAAAGCAGGGTGGTCGATGGCCGATATAAAGCCGATATCATTTTCTTTATTTTATTTAATATTTAAGAAATTTGAAATCATTTGGAAATGGATTAAAAAAATAAATGTGTAAAATAAACATGCTTATACTTTAAATGACAAAGTATTTCTCACAAATAAACAAATATTTAATAAAAATATAATTAAAAAGGAAGTAAACATAAGCTGAACTCTCCTCCTGTCCGTATTCAATTCACACAGACCGACCGTCACGCAGAGTACACGCGATCGTGCAGGATACACATGCACACTTCACAAGAAGTGATACATTCACAACCTGATTGGTCAGCTTGAATGACGTATATATTGTGACGGAACTTACCGAACACCCCAAACAAAAGGTGCGTTAGGCTTAAAGCGGTGCACACATAATTCGCTTTAAGTCGAACACACATAATGCCGTCTGCTGAACTAAGCGCGCTCATTCTTGCATGTACATATAATTTTATTTTCACCACCTGCAAACTCACAAGGAGCTCATAAAAGGCACTTTACCTCATTGTTGCTCCACGTTTGCCCTCTGCTCATTTTGTTTTGGTTATTGGTGCACACCAGGGTTCGGATGGCAGCGTTCAACCTTACTCAAACGAACCGCACTAACAGAGCAATCGCACCAGGGTTCATTTTAATCGAACCAACCATGACAAGTATGAACACACCCTTACATATATACTTTGGTATTATGGAGAATGTAAGGGGGCTTTCACACTAGCCCTTTTGGTGTGCACCCGGGTTTGTTTGACTTTAAAGTTCAGTTCAATTGGATAATGTTTTCTGAACTCGGGTGGTCTGGTGTACAGTTCATGTGAACTCCGGTACGGTTAACTTCTGATGTTAACGCAATCGTACTAAATCGCGGAATTGAACCGCTATTAATGATGGTCAAACTGTTTATATGTGTGTTTACTCACTCGCTTTCCTGATAAGTGTGACTGACGCGCTGCAGCAGAAAGAATTTATATCTCATTTCTGCTCGCAGAAAGTGACTCCCATGTTCTTTTGAAGCTTTGCATTACAGTCGTGACAAATTAGATGCATGTGCCGCTCTGTCTTGGCGTTTTGTAAATTAATCGCAAATTTTCAAAATCATAAGTAAAAAATGAAGTGAGCAGGCATCCATTCATTTTGCCATCTTCTGCATAGTCGTAACCTAGTAACAGGGGTAAGCAGCTGCCTCTCTGATGACGCAAATGTTCCGTGGTTCGGAACCAAAAAAAACACAGTATGAACACAAACCAGCGGGGACAGCGGGAGGGGGGATCAATCAAACTCCAGGTCGGACCAGGCAATCGAACCAAGCATGAAGCATCATTTTTTATTTATTTATTTTTTCCACAAAGTCATTTATTCATCTCAGCATCAGTTGATCAGTGGGCAAATGATCCCTGGATTTTTTTTTTTTTTTGCCAGTTCCGTGGTGCTCCATTTCACATCGTTCTACATTCTGGAGAGAATAGACTTAAATGTCACTATGTACAAGGTGTAATGGTTGCTTAAGATATCACATAGGTTTACGTACAATACAATAAAGCATCTCGCGGTAATATACAATTCCAGCATTATGAAAATGCCTCTCGGAGAGAACACTTAAATGGCATCACTTTGGCACTTTTACGGCAATGAATTATCTATAGAGAGGAATGATTATATAAACAATGACATCATTCTTATATCATCCCATTTATATTGACACCAGCCTCAACATTCAAGCAATCAAGCGTTTCGGCGTATATTGCAGTGCATTAAAATAATGTGCTTGGGAAGCCATTTACATGAAGGTTGATAATGGGTTTGGGTTTTGCCCTATGTGGGTCTCTTCAGTGTACTTGCATCCAGTAAACCGTCTTTGAAAAGCAGCAGAAAAACAAATAATTTTCCTCTATAAAGAGCATTTAGCTTTATTACATTACCATAGATCTACCACCTTCCTGTCCTGTCCTTTTTTTTTTTTTTTTTTTTCATTTGTCTTTTTTTTTTTTTTACAAAGACAGCAGACAAGAAAGAATGTAACATTTCAAGCTATTAAGTCCTCTAAAAATGGCACTCACAAACCATCTACTTTAATATAATGAAAAATTCAGTTTACGTGTTGCTTGCAAAATTTTGCAGCTTTCAAATCTGTCAATGGAAAAATTAGTCTAGATGATATAGTCATGGAAAATTCAGCGACAAAAACAAAATTATTTAGAGCACCTTTATAATGGCAGAAGTTATAACAGAAGTTGAAAGATAGGTGGATCCCAAACATCACACAATTATTTTTGTAAATCATTGCATATCAAACTTCCTTATAAACTCCTTGAAGACTTTTCTCTCAGTTTGGTTACTTCCACACACAGGTGGTGCTGTAGTGAGGAAGGATGGACATTGCATATGTTTTTTTTTTTTTTTGCATTGAAATAATAATCACACTGCAAAAGTCTTATTTGTATATAATATTTTAGATTTGATTTATTTCAGACATGCATCTAAGGGCCACCAAGGGGCAGTTAACACATCCTGATGCTGTAAACATCTAGATAAATGTGTGCAGTCCAGTACTTCCTGTAATGAGAGGGGCCAAATGGAAGGCTTTCTGTTCTTTCTGAAACGCTGTGGCCTATTTCTGCTCCTAACAGATGATAAGAGAGTTAGAAGAGTGTGAGAGAGTTCTCTGACTCCAGTTTCAGTGGGTGATAAATCTGGTGTTAATCTCTCAGGCCTGATTTGGTGAAGTTATGTGGACCCTTTGCCTGTCTTACCACACACAAACACTCTCGCACACCAGTTAACGGCACTTGCAGCATTGAAAAACGCATGTATGAAAACAATTTACATCCTAGCATGTATCGTGCAGTACAGCTTAACCTGTGTACATGCCTTCACATGCCATGTGAAATTCTGATTCAAGATGTCCACTTGATTCTCTCTGAATAGAAGGTGTCAGGCTGTGTGTTGTCCAGCCCAGAACATATCTGTACAATCAGAGCTCATCAACTTCACAGCACATTCATTCCAACCATCACATTCTGACACGTCCTTAGGTATTTGTGCTGTCCATTCAGACAGAGTCTGGAGAGGCTTTTGCCTACAAAGAGCAAGTTAGCACTTGGAGAGAGCAACGCTTATCAAACACACTACTGTCAGCACCGCAGATATCAGCTGCTGTATATATTGTACTCCCGCACTAAGTCTGTAGGCTGTTTATAGTTGCCAAGCCACATAGCAGTAGACCCCTTGCTAAGCTATGCCCTGCTTAGTTACGTTGCTAATTTAGACAAGCTTTACAGAATGTCTCATAGACAAGAAGCTGGAGAATTCTGTAAAAAAAAAAAAAATTATATTGTGAAATAGTATTACAGCTCTTTTCTAATTTAATATATTTTAAAATGTAATTTATTCCTGTATGGGCAAAGCTGAATTTTCAGCAGCCGTTACTCCAATCTTGTCACATGATCCTTGAAATCAATGTGCTGATTTGGTTCTCAAGAACTCTTATTATCAATGTATAATTATAATCATGTATGTACTTTATATGTGTGTTTGTTTATAAAATATTTGTATATTAGTTGCTAATTATAAGTGACATAGCAACAATGATGTTCTGTGTTGTGGGATTGTTTCCTTAAAATTGTTTCATTTAATTTAAACTACAATTAAACTATCCTTAGGCTTACAATTAGAAAAAAAGTAAAAAATTGTCACTAAGGACTGGCCAGTTACATTTAGGCCACGTGTCACCAAAGCTTGTGTTTTTTTTTTCATTTGTTTTCAAAGGGAGCGCTGTTTTCTAAAACACCATGAGAAAGGCGCTGATCATTCATTTCAGCTGAGTACTGTGCGTCTGGCGTTTTTTCTCAGCGCCGATAGTTCAACTTTGTTCAACTTTGGGTAAAATGCAGCACTCATCACTGTCACTTTTTAGTCAGCTAATCACAGTGGAGGAGGGGTGGGACTAATACCACACCGACCAACCATCACACCCTGCTTGTACTACGACTGAATAACAATGGAGAAGTTAATATTGTTTGTCTCCGAGTATTCATGTCTTCACCAGATGGAATTCCCGGACTACCACAAAATTATGAAAATAATGCTTGGAGAAACATTTAATTTGTGATGTGTCATATTACTTTAGAGGATATTCCGTATCATAGCAACCAAAGCGTCTTAACTGAAAATGCAGAAGCACTCACAGCTAGGCGTTTTCAGCAGAGCATCTGGCATTTTCAGTTGATTGAAAATGCTTTGGTGGACACACAGCCTTAAGGTGGTGCTTAGTGAAGGGTAAATTAAAAAATGAATGTCGCAGTTGTGCGTTTCTCCGCATTTTACAACAGCTCATCCTGCGTAGTTTTTAAATCACTCTTTCTTCACTGTTCCTTCCCACTCATAACTTCACTTTCACTTCCTTTGACACCCTTTCTCCAGCTTTCCATCAGAATATCTGACATTTTTGCAGTCTAGCTGAAATGAAGTATCTCTCTCTCTCTCTCTCTTTCTCTTCGTAGACGTTTGGCTGGTAATGACCTTGCATTCATCCACCCAGAGGCTCTGTCTGGCCTCCATCAGCTTAAAGTCCTGTAAGTATTCAACACACACACCTCTATTTGATGCAGGCTAACTCGTTCACCCAGTGAGAAGATCTTGTACAGTGCAGTGAGAAAGAAATAGATCCTGCTGTGTGTTTTGTTGAGTTGTTAAGTGGTGTTGTGTTACAGGAATTTCACTGCTACTGGATCAGCAAGTCTGTCAGTGTCTGATGGAGTACCTTTCATCATGATGCAGCATGATGCATTCTCTCTCTCCATCTCTCTCTTTGCTGTAACTCATATTCTGTCCTTCAGGTGTTTGTGAGCCAATTCAAATGCAGCTTATCAGCAGCCCGGTCCAATCAGCCATGCTTTACATAAAGCTAATTTTCCTCTTCCTGTCCTCATCCAGGGCTATTTCAAAGCCCCATGGTGCTCTTACAGCTCATCCAGACACTGTTGTGAGAATTGAGTTAGGGAAACTGATTGCGGACCAAAAGCCGTTGGCTTTGAAACTATAGATGTTGGAGATGATTTGGGACCAGTTTTTATTTACTGTGGTCATGTGTTTGTGAATGCCTCTTGGCTGGGCTGTGTGTATGTAACCGTATGTGTGTGTTAGTGTGTAGTTGTGTGTGCTGTGGCTTGGCACTGAGTAGGAAAAGCTGTCCTCGCGGCCTATGCCATTTGAGTGACGCCAGAGAGCTGATAGGGTAGAGGAAGCAAGATATGCACCATGATTAGCTCAGAACGAGACACACGCACAAACACATTAAATCAATACTAGAGCTTATATAGTGGTTATATTTGTGGTGAAATCTTGAAGAGAAGTGTATATGTATTGTGTTGTGCTGTGATGTGTCATTGATGTGCACACAGTACATAATGGTGGCATTTTAAACTTCTTTTTCAGGATGCTTCAGAACAATCAGTTGAAGACTGTCCCAAGCGCAGCTCTCAAGAATCTCCATGCCCTGCAGTCTTTGTAAGCATCTCAGCATTTTTCTCTTTCCCACTCAACAAGAAGTACTTTAAACTACTGTTCTATAAACTATTGTTCAAAAAATGGGGTCAGTAAGATACAGTAAGATAGAAATTGATGCTTTTATTTAGAAAAGTAACAGTAAAGAGTGACAATAAAGACGTTTATCATTTTCAAAATACTCCTATTTCAAATAAATGCTGTTCTTTTGAACTTTCTATTCTTTAAAGAATCCTGAAAAAAGTATTATGGTTCCACAAAACATATTAAGCAGCACAGCTGTTTACAACATTGATAATAATAAGTAATGTATCTTGAGCATCAAATCAGCATATTAGAATGATTTCTGAAGGATCATGTGACACTGTAGTCTGGAGTAATGATGCTGAAAATTCAGCTTTGATCACAGGTATAAATACAATTTTAACATATATTAAAATAAAATGATAAAAAAGTTAAATTGTAATAATATTTCACAATATTACCTTTTTACTGATTTTTTTTAATCAGATAAATGTAGCCTTGTTGAGCATAAGACACTTCTTTCAAAAATATTAGAATCTTACTGACCTCAAACTGTACTACCAGAGCCTTCTGATTGACGTGTCATAATTGGCTCAGATCATTGGCTGTTTGGCTGATCATTGCTTGCCAATGTCTGATAATCACTTTTACTGGCCAATACAGATGATTGGCTTATACTGTACATTGGTGCATTGCTTTTAAAAAAAAAATCCTGTCCATGTAATTTTGTCAGTTACATATATAATGTTATGATAGCAATGATCTTATGTATTTCATCAAGAAATGTTTACATGGCAATGTCTCAGATGCATTAGAGTTTCTGTAACTGTGCATTGTTTGTTTGTGTGTCTGTCCTTTAACTTTGTCTCAATGAGATTTAGTCCAGCTGCTGTTTCTGCTGTGGGACAACGTGTGTTTAAAAAATCAGCTCTCAGCCATTATCACCTCTCCAGGTCTCTTCTTCTCTCTATCTTACCCCCTCAAGTTGTGTGTTTTTCCTCTCTTTTTCCCTGTTGTGCTGAAGTAATGTGTTTTGGCACAGTCCACCTGCTTTTGGATAAGGCCTTATAGAATGACCTGTCAATCAACGTGCCTTCTGCCCCTCAGCGAGGATGATGAGAGAAAGAGTAGGAATATAGTCAGAGCAGATGCCAAAGATGAGAGACACAGGAGAGAGAGGAAAGGGGGCAGTCCTCCGGGAATGTGTTCACCCTGCAGGCTTTCTGCACAGGTTCTTCAGCTGCACTAATCAGGCTACCAAAAAAAAAAAAAAACCTCCTATTTACAGTAACATTGCTGTGGGGAACAAGGCGGAGACAAAGCCTGTAGAAAACACCAGGGGAAAAAACCCTTTACTTCACTTACAGCAATTCTGTTTGATAGCTCGACTAATTAATTTTTGGTTGTAGCTAGTGATGCACAGAGTATTTTGGTGAAAGCTGATACTGAAAACCAAAAATCAATTTTAAATTAGCATATGTTTGAAATTACTATGACTTTTTATTCATATTTTACTATTTTTGTGCTTTTATATATACGTTCCCATTCAAAAGTTTTTTTTGGTTTTTGTTGGTTTTTGAAAGAGGTCTCTTATGCTTACCAAGGCTGCATTTATTTGATCAAAAATACAGTAAATACAATAATATTCCAAAATATAATAAATAATTTTGTTCCATTTAAATAAATATATTTTTATGTAATGTATTCCTGTGATGGCAAAGCTGAAATTTCAGCATCAGTTACATTTAATCTTATTATTATTAGTGTTGAAAACACTATTTTTGTTTAAACCATGATATATTTTATAGGATTCTTTGATAAATAGAAAGTTCAAAAGAACAGCATTTATATATATATATATATATTTTTTTTTTTTTCTTAACCCCCAAA